TGGGGGGGCAGGAAGAGCAGGGGGTGATGGGGAGAGCACGGAAGGTCAGTCCGTCACAGTCTCACGAAGCCGCTCGTGACTTTTTCCACAGGGGCCAAGTTCCCCATCAAGTGGACCGCCCCAGAGGCCATCCATTTTGGGGTGTTCACTATCAAAGCAGACGTTTGGTCCTTTGGCATCCTCCTGATGGAAATCATCACTTATGGGCGGGTCCCCTACCCAGGTAGGCAATTTTATCTGAAGCAACTTGCAGTTCCCTGCGGTCCTGGGATGGCTGTGACAGCTCATCCTTGATGTGTGTAAGAATGGGATCTCCTTGGTGGAGACAGAAACCCACGCATTTCCAGTCTGAAGGCGGGGGTTCTACTCCCTCCTTCGGCATTGCTCTGGGCAACGGGGCTGTGTCCCCTTCCTCCAGTGAGTCCCCAAACCTAGAATTAATTAAGGGTCTGAGTCTGAACTCAAGTTGACTCCCAACTGGTTTGTTCTCAGTTGAAGACGGGTGGTCCCTTATTTGGCCTTCTACCTTCAGTGTACTCCCGAAAGCCACACCTTGATTACAGAACCCCAGCCCCAGCCCCAGCCCCATGTCAAAGGTCTCTCCTAATTAGCTGGGTAGTGCATTTTCGGGGAGAACCTGCGCCATGAGAGATGGGCTTCTGCTGTGGCGGGCCACTCTCAGAGAAGCCAGCTCGGGTCCCATCCGCAGAGGAACTGTCGGCACTAAAGAGAAAATCTCCAGCCTCATTTCTAGCGGTTCTTCAAACAATGAAAAGTGAATAAAGGAATATTTAAAGGTGACACCAGGTGGGCGGCCAGGCGACCTGCGAGGGAGGAGACAGTGTCCGTGGCCTCTGCCGCCTCTCAGCCTTGTTCTGTGTCCCCTCTGCCTCCAGGAATGAACAACCCCGAGGTCATCCGCTGCCTGGAGCGCGGCTACCGCATGCCGCGCCCAGACTCGTGCCCGCCGGAGCTGTACCACGGCGTCATCGCCGAGTGCTGGCGGAGCCGGCCAGAGGAGAGGCCCACATTCGAGTTCCTGCAGTCAGTGCTCGAGGACTTCCAGACGGCCACCGAGCGCCAGTATGAGCTGCAGCCCTAGCCGGTCCGGGGGATGTGTCGGCGCTGCGGGGCGCCCAGGTGGATGGAGTCAGAGCATCCCAGCTCCGGAATGACGCACACCTGTGGCCCGACCCACAGAACTGGAGGCGTGTTCACCTTGTGACTCTTGTTCCAGCTCCAGATAGGCTGGAAAGGCAGGGAGGGATTGGTACCCCTATTTCTCGGATGAAACTAGAGGCGGCCTGGCAGTGGGTCACAGCTTGGACTCTGAGCCGGATACAACCGCAGTCACACCCTACTCTGGCTGTGTGTCCTTGGGCAAGTTACTTAGCCTCTCTGTGCCTCCGCTTCTTCCTTTGTACAACTGGAAGTACCATTATAGTACCTACCTCGTATGTCCCTCATAAGGATTACAGTAGTTAACCCTGGTAAGATGTTCATGTGTTTGTCATCATATAAGGCTCCCTTGTGCTGGCGCAGGTGACGGGGAGTGCCATGCTCCCACTTGCGCGACCGCCCCCCCCACCCCGTGCGACTCCCTTTCCGCCACCAAGAAGCAGAACTGGGTCCTTCAAGACGTGGGTTCTGAGAAGGGACCACCTGCACAGGCTCTGAGCTGGGAGCCCTGCCCCAGACTGAGCTCCAGCGCTTTGGGACTTTGCCATAATAAAGTCATGAGATCTGACCTTTTCCGTGTTGTTACTGGTGACAAGCCTGGAAATCGTATCCGTGACGTATGTGGGCGCACGACTGGTGCCACTAGGGACTCGCGGGTGACACTGGGTTTCCGGTGGAAACCAAGTCCCCAACCTTAGACCAACTGCCCAGATCCAACTGTCACTGCCTTTGAGCGGGGCAGCAGGTGGCGCCCTCACCTCAGGAATCCTTGGCCTCCAGGGCCGAGTCCCGGGATCCTTGGCTCGGGAAGGCGGCCAGAGCTGGCAGGGCGAGCCCCGCGCGCTGGGGGCGCACAGAGGAAGGAACAGCGCCCGCGGCTCCAATTACCAAGCACATAAACAATGAGCGGGTGACAGTGGAATGATAACACCAGAACGTTAGAGGGTCTGCACTGCTCAGGGAGGCTGCCAATTTGTGATGCTTTTTGTTTATAATAGGTTTTTGAGCAATTACAGGAAAATAAGAGGCAAGTACAGAGGAACCCATTTACCCTTCAGCCTTGCCCCTTAATTTCCCCTACTATTAACACCTTACAATAGTGTGGGACATTTGTTACAATTGATGAGAACATCTTGACACATTATTGTTAACTAAATTCACAGTTTCCATAGGATTCATTCTGTGTTGTATGTATCCTTCTGTGGTTTGGGACAAATGTATAATGACATGTCTCCACCATTACACTGTCGCACAGAATAGTTTCAGCGCCCTGAGAATATCCCATGCTCCACTTAGTCGTCCCTCCCTCCCTCTGAACCTCTGGCCACCAACTTGCCATGTAGTGACTCCCCTGATCTTGTGACAACACAAAGAGGTATGACTATTGCCCTCCCTTCTATGTACAGAGGAAGAAGCCGAGGCACAAAGAGCTTGCCTGCCCATTGGCAGCAGGATGGAGCTGTGGACCCAAGGAGAGCTGTGGGACTGTAGCAGCAGCGTAGGTGGGGTGATGGGCTGGGGGAACTAGAGGGGCTGCCTCTGTGGGGGAACAGAGGCAACTAGGCCAAGGAGGACACATATCTGGAGAGTACGTGCTGTTTCTAGAGTACCTTCCAATACAGTCTGGATTCTCAAACAGCCCTGGCAGGGAGGGAGGGAGGCGCCACTGCTATTATTATGTCTCTGCTGTTTTCCACAAATGAGGGAACACCCCACTAGGCTTGCCCAGAGGCTCTTAGCTGGCCAGGGCTGGACCCCAGATTTGAAGCCATTCTTCACCCCCAACCCCTGCCCTAAGTGCCATGTAGGGAGCATGGCACTCTCAGAGTGGGGGTGTCTGCAAAGGCAGGTTGAACAGGCTCCCCGAGCAGTTCCCAGGGGGATCCTAGGGAGGGGGGATGTGCTCAGTTGGGGCTTGGACAGGTCTCCCCCAGGAAGTCCAGGACACCGGAAGCAAAGGGCCCCAGGGGCAGGGAACTCTGTCTTCTGGGCAGTGGGGACACCAGAGAATTGCCTGTGACCTCCCCTGGGAATCAAGGGCTCTTTTGCGGGGAGGTGGCTGCTGAGTCTCTCAGGAAAAAAAAAAAAAAACATAGCTCAGCCTCCGCTCAACTAGGGGTAAGCCCACACCCCAATCCCCCCAAGAATCTCTGGGAATTGGCGCTGCATGGCCTAGAACCTGGGGCGAAGGGATGTGATGGTGGGAACTAAGCTGGAACGCAGGACGCCAGAGTCGACTGCTCCTGCCAAGGGGTCACCAGACAGACAGGAACCTGAGCCCAGGGGGCACACAAGGAAGGGCCCTGAGGGGCCCTGAGGGGACCTGAGGGGTCTTGAGGGCGCTTTGCAGGTAGGGGCGGGTGCGGGGGAGCTGGTACCAGCATGCTGGAAAACCAGACCCTCCCTCCGGCTTCACAGCCTGGGCCTCGGGCCTAGGCTCCTCCTCCCCGCCTCCCTGGCCGTCCTGGAGCTGCAAAGCCTGGGGCTGGCTAATCATCACCTCCCTGGACCCCTCTGCCTTCCTCCAAAGGTAAAGAGGGTCACCCAGTGGTTGGCCAACCTCACTATTCATGAAAATCACCTCCGCTTCTTGTTGTAAAACACAGGTGTCTAGACCTTTCCCTGTGATCCAGCAGAGTTAAGGCAGGATCCTCCTCTTTCCTCAGCGCCCTAAGCGATTCCTCATTTAGCCCCGTGGGGTTCTCGACTCCAGCTGCACAGTTGAATCATGGTAGGGTGGACATGGCAGGACAGCACGGGCAGAGGGCACATTTCGAAAATACCAGTGCCAAGATTCCAGGTGGGGCCTGGCCATTGGCACATCTGAAATGTTCCCAGCTGGCACTGATGTTCAGCCAGGATTGGGAACCACGAGGATGGGTTGTGTGGGGTTTGGAAGTTCCCTTTCCAGCAGGGCTGGCTACAGATCACTGGGGGCTGGTCTGCCGCTCAGGTTCTGGAATTGCAAGGCCAGCTCATGCCTGTGGCTGTTTCCAGTTCTGACATGCAAATGACAACCTGCAGAAACTACAAAAGAAAACCCCGCACATTCTCAGAGGCACATTGTTAGGCAAGGCCGCCACGTCCCCTCCTCTACCTCCTGCTGCCCACGGGGCTGCCTGCGGAAGGCGAGGCGGGAGCCAACCCTTGAAGGACGAGCGAAATCTGTCCCCACTAGGAGGCGCACTTGCCTAAGCGGTTCCCGGAACTGAACTCTTGTGTTTTTTGTTAGGTGTTTAAGTGAGTTTATGAAGGACAAGACGCCTGCCGATTCCCAGCCAGAAAGTGAAGTGTAAGAGTGTGAAGAGAGAGAGAGACAGAGACGGAGAGACAAAGAGAGACAGACAGGAAAAGATAGAGGTAGAGAAGTCGGAAAGAGAGAGACAGAGCATGGATGGGAAAAAGCAACGTTTCTTGCTCTGAGGTCTTGTCTTCGGAGTGGGAGGGGAGGTTATCTTTGGCTGTGGACACTGTATTCTCCCAACATAATCTCGCAGCACACGTGAGGATGATGGAAAAGGGTGCAGGCCTGAGACATCTGGAGCATGTGATCGCTGCTGGCTCACCCAGAGCTCCGCTGAAGGGAGCACCCTAGCCTTGGACCCCAGATGCCTTCTTGCCTCTGATGGAAATGGTTTTCTCCTTCTGTCTCCCTTGAGAGCCAGCACACAGTTACACACTTACATTTATTGCAAAGTGAATAATAGCAAGATCTTCGGGGTCGGATAGACCTGTGTTCAAATTCAAGCACCTTCTCTCCCACAAGGTATGATCTTGGGCACTTTGCTTGACTTCTGACGAGCCTCAGTTTCTTCACCTGTAAAATAGGCGTACTAATCCACATATATTACAGGCTCATTCGGAGGTTTAGATAAAACAGTAAACGTGAGGCTTTCATCACAGTACCTGCCTATGGTAAACGCTCAGAAATAGCTCTTATTATTGTTATTCTGGCCCCCCAAAGAAAAGCCTTCAAAGACCCTAATACAGCCTCCGACACCCTTCGCTGAGTTTCCCCTGGCCGCTGTGATATTTCTCCTGGCTTGGCTTCTAGCCATACTCTTCTGCACTTTGTTCTCTATCAGTTGCTGTGATTTCTCTGTGTCTACCTTCATATTCTTCCCACTCTGGGGGCAGAACTGGGAAAAGAGCACATGGGGAAAGGCACTTTCCCCAGAATACAGTTCTGCTCTATTCTGGGGGAAGTACCTTTCAATTTTACCCCTGGGTGAGTCTGCCCCAGCACATCTCGGGGGCTCCTAGAGCTTGCCCACGATTCTCACCTGTCATCCCCAGGTTGGTCTGTGTCCTGGTGGGCATATGCTCCTACGATTTGCAAAAAGGTTTCTCTTGCATCACGTTGCCTCAGTTGCCCCTCGCGGCGACCTCTCAGGTGTATGGCAGCCTTCATTTCTCTTCATTCTGGGCAGGATGTCATTTACTGTCGCATCCCTAGAGAGTGGGGGGGGCCAGAAGGCAAATCCTGGGCTCCTGCTTCTGCTTCTGCACTTGAGGGACCCAGCAAATGGCACTGAGGTTAAAAGTGCTCTGGAGAAGTGAGGGACAGGGTGAGCAGGGTGGATACAACCTACACAGAGCCTGTAGAGTGGCCCTTGTGGATAATCCTTTTAATAAGGTTAAGTACACTGCTCTGAGAGGATGACGGGAAGGTTTTGTGAATGCCTGGTGGCATAGATGCAAGGAAGAGAAGCATGTGGTGCTGTCGGAGCCACCGGCCCTAGTGGATTCTCATCTTTGAGACAGAAACTGCAGTCCCTGGAAAGGTGAGGTGGCCAGAGTCCCTGCGTGTGAGGTCAGGAACTCTGTTGATGATTCACAGAGGAGGAACTCTGCCTGACATCAGCTGAAGACCTAAAAATAGCCATCGGGGAATGTCCAGGAGATAACGGGGAAAAGTTAAAATTTGGGGGCAGATGGTGCATGCACATGGAAAATGTCCAACTGGCACCTATGGGGACTTTGTGACCTTTCAGGTCCTCACTTGACCCTAAAGGGGTACAGTGATGAATAAGACAAGAACCTACTCCCAATAAGCTTTTCAATCTGCCCTTATTCGTGGGAGCATGAGCCTCACATCACCCGTGCTCACCAGCAAGGATGCTAGCAGCAATATCATCCACCCGTTCTGCACTTCATGTCCACAACCTCATGTAGCCTGCATGCCCACTCAGAAGTGGATTCCTTACGAGTCCCCTTTTGTAGATGAGAAAACCGAGGCTGTGAGAAGTGAGGTCATCTGCCAGGCTCACACAGCTGGGACACAAACTCAGATCCGCCTCTGTGCTTAGCCTCCTCCAGTGAGAGTCCCCTGGGAGAGGGAGGGAGCTAAGGCTTTGAGGAAGCTGGAGGCGGAGCTGGAGCTGGCGGGCTTTGAGCTTTGCGTATGCCCCCTTTGCCTCTCTCCGTTGCCAGATGCACATCGTGTTGTAGAACAGGCTTTGGAGGGATCAGGCAGTGTTCACTCCACTTCTTGGTTCTGCCTCTTACTGGCTGTGGAATTCCTAGTGAATTATCGAACCTGTCTGAGCTCGGTTT